CAATGTGAAGACGTCACCGCCTAATACCAGAAACACGTTCTGCGCATGTGCGGGAGCTCATGGACAGCTTTCCCGCGAACTCAGGCTATAAATCATCAACGGAACAAAGAAACTCCGTTCTTTTGCCCAGGATACCTGGCGGTAAGGACACGCTTGTCGAACGCTCCGACTAACTTGAGCACGCGGGAAGTCTAAGTGCTCCATTGGAGCTCACGGAAATGCTGGAAAGCTAAACTACAAGCCATCAGGTCTGTTCAACCGTTCGCTGCGCTAACTGCTGAAGGGAGAACACACAGAACCGGGCTGGAAATCAGCAACTCCCTCAAACTCACGGAGAACGCCGGAAACAGCGGAGAAAGCCATCAAACCGACGGACGACGCCAAACTGCGGAGAAACACGGAGAACCGTCAAATCAAACAGTGAGGGACGCTTCACTGTTCTGGTGATCAGAAACTCATCTCCTTCTCTCTCTCTCCTTCTTTCCTTCTTCCGTTTCCTCTATAGTCCAGAATAAGCAATAAAACCACGCTATTGCTTAAAAGTAGCTTCGTGTTTTCCTCTTTCGTTCCCAAATACGTCCGTCGGGTCATTTTGAAAGAATAAACTGCTTATTGATCATTGTTTGGTATCTTAAAATGTTTTCTGCTATGGCCAAGCGGTTAAACTAAAAAGATATTATTCGTGATTAATCTTTGGTGAAGCTTCATGATCATTTTGAAGTGTTTTGAGTGAATTTAAGGTTAAGTTACTTATGATTCTAAGTGCCTTGGAAGTTAAAGTGCAAGTTGCCACCCACACTTTAGCCAGACAAAGGGGTCAGCCAATTTGTATACAGACTCCATTTTAGAAACACACACACACATACACACACACAAAACACCTTGAACATTATTTTGAATATACATCCTTTTATTATATCACATGGTTATTATTCATTTATTTCATTGTTTATTCATTTGACAAATTGTTTAATTAAATGTCATAAAATTCAGATTTTGCCTCAAGAGACTTTGTTTGTGTTGGTTGAAATTTCTGCTCCAAGGATTATACGAACTTCAAGAAAGACTGATAAGGTTTTGGATTCATTTTCCTTTCTAATTAAAGGGATGGTGCCCCGGGATATCTAAGAATATCTTAATTAATTAATAAATCAGTAAATATTCCCATATTTACAGAATTTATTGAAGAATCCAAAAGTAAGTTAAAGCTTACTAATTGTTCGCTACCGAATAACCCCAACACAGTACATATCCAAAACATTTAATTTAAATTTTATAATCACAAACATTTCAGAGAAATACATTTGTTATTTAAAAAGTTATTTCAAAATTAAATAAAAACATTGTTTTATTCACCTATTGCTGTGTTCACAAAAATTATGGATAAAAAGGTGAGCAGCAGTAACAAATGTAGTTTTTTTGTTATTTCTTTACTCATTAAATGTAGTATTTTTCTTTTGTTTGACAATTATACCTTAATAAAAAAGATCAATTTATGATTTGAGTGAACATTAATATGATTTAGTAACACTGGCATTTTCTGGGGGGTCAGCAAATTTCTAGGGTTGGCCAGGGCCATGTCAGACTGGCCGGCTGGAATACAAGGAGTTGAGCTGTAGAGGGCGTGGTTTCACAGATGCGGAAGTAGTAGCGTCGGTGAAACGCCGACTCGCGGTTTGATCTAGGAATCCCCGAGCGTCCAAGCGTCAGTGAAGTGACACGGAGATGCTGGGTTTTCCAGAGGTAATTAAGAGCACTTACTGTGAGCAGATAGTTCGTAGGATGGATAGCTTGATTGGATACTCTGATCATTGATCTGAAGAAACGATGACTGAGTGGTGAGCTGGAGAGGCGACTTCCATGCATAGTCGCGGTTAGTGACATAGGTGTGACATGGAGGGAATCCCCGCGAGGAGCATGCTGGAAGTTGTGGTCCAGGGTGGAAACCGACTAGCTGGAAGAGGCTGGTTTGGGGACTTGGCCTCTGACAGGCCACCCTTGGCCACCCCTTGGGTGCGCCATTGATAGGAGCATCCAATAGTGAGTGTAAGGGGCCACAGATCTGCCCCAAAGATGTGTAGAAGATGAAGGGGGCTTGAAGCCCCAGATATCCAAGAGTTGCCCCAGAGCGCAGGGACCCCAGGGAGACTGCAACCAGAAAAGCCCCAGCCCTCCCTCTAAAGACGCAGAGGATTGCCCCAGGGGGCCGCAACCAACAGCCGGCAGAGTCCGGGGAGAAATCAGCGGCAAGCCCACAGGGCCGGCCGAGCCCAGAACCCAGCAACCCGGGACCCAGGGGCTACCCAACAGAGCCCAGGGACTCAGGTCCCACCAGGCAGCCACCGGGATCAATCAGACAGACGCCAAAAATCTTAAACCCCCTGACCCGGGAGCTGCGTACACTCAGGCAGACCAAGGCACCACACTCCACACACCAAATGTGGCAGGGGGAGGGCAGGCAAAGATGTGTAGTAGCACAAGAAGTCCCAGGAGAGGGCAGGAGTCCAAGACCCCACCTGACATATACAGTCATACTCAGACACAGTCACACACCTTCCCTCATATGCTCACACTTACACATACACATGCAACCTAAGACTGACAGAAATGAACACTAGACACCCACTCATGCTCCCCATACACACCCTATTCACTCTGGTCCCGGTACTGCTGCACAAACGTACAACCATCACTGGTTCCCAGAGTTAGCCCCGTTCTGCTGGGGTGATGATGAGCAGACTCCCCTGCTCAACATCGAGCAAAGCAACCCACCACCCCAGACCCCAACCAGATGGCCAGCTCCCCCTCCTAACCTCCAGTCCCAGGTAGTCAAGCGACAACAGAGGAGATGATTTCTGCCACCATCAGTTAAACAGCAGATTTGTGAATATCCCTTGAAGAATGCTATGTGATTGCATGACATTCTAATTTACCGAAATATTGGTCCCCACAAGACGAATACCCTTTGGTTGGCATGTTCTCAGATTTTCTTCATTAGAAGAAAACAGGGCTTTCCGTTTAAAGCTATTTATAATGTCTGGTTTAGTTTCACCACAGATAGCTAATGTTTAGGCTTTGAAAAGAAAAGAGAAGGAAATAAAAAGTGACATTACTCAGAAAACCGAAAGAGGAAATTAAACTGCAACTCAAAATTTCAACCCTGTTGCACTTTACTGAAACTAAATGCTTTCCCTAAAAACCTACAAGAGATTGTATCAGACCCAGAGTGTCAATAGCAAACCACTGTTCAGGAAACAAACTTTATCAGAAAAAGTACTACTTACACCACAAATACTGTAACATCACACAATTACAGGGGGAACAAAAAGAAAATATACCTTCACTTTTTCCAAGCCCTTTTGCATTTGATTCTGTGCAGCAGAAGGTGTTAACCACTGGTGCCCTTTGTCTTCATGAAAAACATGCAAAGCTGCAAAGATCATCAGCCCACATTTGCCAAGAATAAAAATGTTCACACATTGTCAGAGCAAGGACCTCATGATGAACTAAAAGGATAAACGCTTGTCTAATAATGTGACAAAGTTATATAAGTAGAAATAATAACATGAATCATTGTCTACTTTTGCTGAAAACAACATTTTGTTATGATAAAGATATTTTAGAACTAAATGAGTTCAACAGTGTTGCAGCCATTTCATTTATTTTCTTTAAGATGCCTTAAAAACAGACAACAGATGTCATTAGGTTTTGCTTTTAATGGCTTTTCACGAGATAAGGACCTTTCTGCTTTCTTACCATTTCTTTTATATATATTTATTTATTTACTTACTTATATTTAGGATGGTAAAAACCTCTTGAGGTGAAACATCTCGTTTTCGAGAGGGTCCTCCATCCATACAACATAAAAATTGAAATATAGCAAGACAACAGGTAGCTGAAAAATAACCAAACAAAAAGAAAACTATGTAAAAGATAAGGTGAGAAAAATTACAATTAGCTGAAAAAAATTGCTTTTTAAAAAGATAAACAGATAAGGAAGTAACGACACCAACAAAGCTCCGAGGAAGACTACAGTGTTAGTCGAAATGTCAGCAAAAACAAGGTGAAAAAAACTATTTTGCTGTCTAGATTACATCTGTATAATCTAAAATAGGGAATAAAAGTTTCTTAGCAATATGTATTCTCACTTTAAAATCAAAGCAATTAATTGATTGATAAAGACCCAAAGATGATTCAGTTGATAACTGTTTGCCTTATTAGTAATCGTTTGGATAAGAGTATTAAAGGTTAGATCAGACTCAAGTCAGACATTTAGGTATTTGACTTTATCAACACATTTCACTTGGGAAGAATCTAAGAACGTAAAGTTTAAATCCAGTGGAAGTTAAAGCTAAAGTATGTCTCTGAAAAAGGACTGAGTAGGATTTAGTTTTATTAAGAATAAGTCTATTGTGGACCAGCCAGTGTTGTAAGGTGTTAAAATTAGATTGAAGTCAATCAAGAATTTCAGATAAGGAGGGCTTAGAACAATATAACATAGTATCATCAGCATACATGTGAACAGAACATGTGGAACAGCAGGAGGGAAGGTCATTAATAAAAATTGAAAATTGCAAAGGCCCAAGAGAAGAGCCTTAAGGCACACCCCTGGAGACTCTACGTAATTCCAGTTGAGATCCTTTAAACAAAACTTACTGTGAGAAGTGATGGTGGAATTACTTAAACTAGAATAAAGCTGTTCTAGACAAAACAAATTGCATTAAGCTTATCCAAATGCAAGTAATGATCAACTAAATCAAGCTTTTATATATATATATATATATATATATATATATATATATATATTTTTTTTTTTTTTTATTTTATTTTTTTTTTCAAAATAGAAAGAAAAGGAAACACAACTGAGGTAGAGCAAAATGAGTCTGTGGGTTTTACTTTCTCTCTTGTGGTTTATTTTTATGTTTCACTTTCCAGTCTGAAAATTTTCCCTTTGTCACAGGAAAGATGATGTATGCGGTTCACAAATCAGTATATATAGATGACCCTCTGCCTCAACCACTCGCAGCACTTCTAATAATCACCTTCAGCAACACTTACTTCAGCTCCAGCTCCATAAGAAGAAGCCAATTATGTCTGCCATCATAAAGGTGCTTCTGCTGCTGGCCGTCTTGGCCTACATCTCTAAAGCTCAAAGTAAGTTGATTATTCTGGTCCATCATTCTGATCTAATGGAAGTGTGTGGCCTTTTTGGTAACCGAGAGTGGATTTGTGAGGTCAGAAGATAATGTGCTTTTGTTTACCTTTCTAGTTAACGAACCAGGACAGAACTGTTTGTGTCAGCGTGTCAGGAATGGCACCATCTCAAGGACTAAAATAAAGGACGTCCAAATCTACCACGCAACTGTCTTTTGCAGCAAAGTAGAGATTGTGTAAGTTGTACTTCTGTAGAGACTTATTGCAGCTCCAAAACCAGCAACACACTGAAAATCATGACTGACACATTCATTTAGAGCTTCCTTTTAAAATTTGAATGCTGAATATCAGTCTTCTTTGGGGTTTTATGTGTGTCTTTGATGAATATTTAATAAACTAACCAACATTTTCCAACCCAACAGTGTCACCAATAAGAACGGCTATCGCTACTGCCTGAACCCTGAGGGGGAGAATGTGAAAAACATTCTGTCTGCAATCCTGTGAGTTCAAAAAGCCTCAGCATCAATACGCTGATCAACAACTTACTTCTTTTAACATTGGCGTGGATTTACTCATAAATTAAATCCTTTTCCTTTGCTGACATCTCCAGAAAGAAACCCTCCACTTCCAAACCGACTGGAGTCTTTTCCACCACGAGCAGCAAACCCTCCACCCACGTCTGAATCTCCTCTCCATTCTCTGACTGAGTCCTCTGACCTCTCAACATGTCCATCCATTCTTTGGACACACTTGGTCCAGTTCAGAACCACGAGAAGAGAAGCTGGCTGGAACCAGGACAGACCACCAGTCCATAACAAACTCAAACGCAACTTAAACACTTTTTTAATCTATTTATCTTGTATTTAAACTCGTGTGCAGCTACACCTCATAAAACCTACCATGTCTTTATGTTTGATTGATAAATGTGTATGTTGTTGATTATTGTTCAGTTCTGCATCTTTTTGTAATAAAATGTAAGTGAAGACAGAATTGACCACTTGTGTTTTGCTCTGAACCTGAAACAGCTTGCGTTCTTGACAACACTGCTTCCCTGTGGATTAAAGCTGCAAATGCATGATGTTTACTCAGCATTACGTCACCTCTCAAACAGAGCGGTCTCTTGTGTTTTCGGAGTATTTAATATCAGGAGTTGAACTTTAAAGGCCGCACAAGTGACATCAGAGCCGTGTACTTAGCACAGATGGGGTGGGGTCGGATCAGCTGTCTGATTGGCTGATGACCTTCACACCTAGAAACGCACATAAACACCATTTCGTAGCTCTCTGGTCTGTCACGTTTGTTACAAAATCATTCCCAATGGCATTAAACTTATTTCCAAACATTTAAATTGTCCTGCAGAGACAAGCATCCTGGATACACAAGAGAGGTTTCATTTTGAACATCATAAATATTTAAATAGTCCAGGCTAAAAATACAGGCAAGGATGAGTTTGGGACAGGATCAGAACGTATCTAAAAAAAAAAAAGATTTTTCCTTTTCGATACATTTAGAAAAAGCAGAAGGTTTTTTAACTGAAAGCAGGGGGAAAGTGCTTCACCTTTTGTTAAATCACTGGTATTATTTCCCAGTTCTGGATAGAAAGAATTGGGATATTTGAGTTAGAGACTTTGAGGTCACCTGTGTGCCACTGAGCCAGTGACTCAAAGAGGCAGTGGCTGTGAAAAAGAATTAAGGATACATGTACAGTTTTGTGGAAAAAAATGACAACGTTTTGGATTTTGGCACGTAACTGATGCAAGCTGGCAAACAAATCAGGCAAAAAAATATTTTTACAAATACTGAGAAAAAACAAAAAGTCGTTTTCACATTTTCTTTTCACTTATTTCAAAAATAAGCTACCTAACCTTGAAAAACTGCAACTGACCACTACATCTAAAAGAACACCTAATTGGTTTCCCGCTTCTCCCACCTACTGGATGTAAGTGGAAGTAAAACTTTTGGAAACAACTCCTACGCAGCCTGCTGTAACTAGCGCTTACAGCTAACACTAACAAAGCCAGCTGACACTAAATTTGCCACAAAGTAAAAATATTACCACTAAATTTTACTACTTACAAGTCCAGTAGCAACAAAGCCAGGTCACCATCAATCTACTTTTGCTCCCTCAAACTAGTGTAGCCAATGTTCGCTCTGATGTTAGCTCTTTACTTCACCTCCAAAGACATCACTCTTGTAGAATTAAATATTGTTGCTTTTAAGCTTAATATATTACCTTTACTTATGACCAATAAGCCGGGATATTCTATATAAATATAGAGTATCACTTTGATTGGTCTTTGAATGTTTAATCAGAAGATTCTAGGATTCTTTACTTTTTCAGGGATCAAACACACTTTGTATCAATTCATACAGAGGGTCAAGTTTTTTTAAAAAGTAAAAATTTATTTTCTAAACAATTAAAAACATGACGAGTTAACTAAGACTACTGTGATGGATGAATCTAAGTGGATGGGATGTGAGGTGTGATTATGTGTGAATGTGATGTTATCAGAACCTTCGTATCTAGAGAAGAACTGAGTTCTGGGTGTGAAAAGAATTTGGTTTGCATTAAACTATGAAGCTGATTCTTATCAAAACCACATCAGATGCAATTCATGCTGTGTCCACCTCACCCTTTCTTTGGAGACCATCTTCGCAGATCCGGAGGTCAGGGAGGTCGGATGACCTCTGGGCACCAAGGTTCAGTAGATTAACCGCAGCACCGACTACGTTCCAGAGATGTTTCCGAGTCGCAACAGATAGATGAAATCGTTTGCATTTAGAAGGACTCTTAGGGAGTCGGAACTGTATCAGCTTTGTTCTGCAGTGTCAGCCTCAGCATGTAGCAGGTTTTTGACAGCTTGTCAAAAGATGCTCTGGGTTAAAGAGGTGCTCCGGATGGCCGGTCCGTAGCTTTCTCTAGAACTAACAGAATGCTGAATCTCACAGAATGCTGGAATGCTGACTCACTCCGCAAGTGATTCTGTTTTAATATTCTCATGTTATGATTTACTTGGCCAATCGGGACGTGCCATGCTAAGAGGTGTTAACAAACAGACCTCAGAACATCACGCCTTCTTTCAGATACAGGGTGCTCTGATTTGTGGGTAAGAAAATATCTATGTGCGGTGACGTTAACTTTAATTTATATCTTATGAACATTGTGTATGAGTGTAGATAATGATTCACTCGTTAAATCAAACATTACTGATCATAACACCAAAATGTTTTGTTTTAATAACAAAATTCCTTTCAACCACAGTAATTTAAGCACAGATTAATCAAAACATTTCATTAGTATTCATATAACATTTGTTCATTCAACCATATTATTATTTAATGATTATTTAACTTATGAGTTGTAAAACTGTTCCTTTTTCATGAGAGTGAGCAATCCTGCGGTGTTATCAAAAGAAGGCTTTGTTTGGGAACACAGGCTGTTGTTTGTTCCTCCTGAAATGTCAAAAAGGTTTGCAGAATCTTGTGGGCTTGTTGGAAGATAGAATGTGAAATCCACCTTAGAGAGTGGAATTAGGTCTGTAGATGACCGGTGGCATGTAGGTCAATCTGTAGGTGAAAACTGACCATTTCTGGACGTTACACTGTCTTACTTTTACTTCCAGGCTGTTCATCCATCCATCCATTTTCTTTACCCGCTTATCCACACAGGGCTATCTCCACCGGTCTCAGGCAAGCAGGTGGGGTACACTCTGGACAGGTTGCCAGTTCATCCCAGGGCAACACGGAAACACATAGGACAAACAACTAAGCACACACTCACACCTAAGGACAATTTTGAAAGACCAATCAACCTGACAGTCATATTTTTGGACTGTGGGAAGAAGTAGGATGTTACTCAGTCTTCTCGCTGAAGAACCATTGAAACCAGTTTGAAAGTGATATCTAAAGTGTTAAAAATGGTTAGCTTGTTGGCAAGAACTACAATTATCTCCCATCATTGTAGAGGACATTTGTCTCAATCTTCTTTCCAGAATTGTTATAAATCAGCCACATTGGAGGGTTTTTATAGTGTGAGTGAACTGTTTAAGGAGTTTCTGCTATAGTGAGCAGAATTCATGGTTACATCAGTTATAGGCAAGAGATCCAGATCCTGAAGTGACAAAGCAGCCCCAGACCATCACACTACCACCACCATGTTTGACTATTACTATCATGTAGTTTTTCTCAAATGCTCTGATAGATTTACACCAGATGTAATGGGACACACACCTTTCAGAGTTCCAATTTTGACTCTCCAATTTATTGAATATTGTCCAAATTGTATTTATTTATCTGGGAGTACATTCAAATGGTAAATGGCCTCTATTTGATATAGCACCTTCTAGGGTCCTGGAACCCCCAAGGCGCTTTACAACACAATCAGTCATTCACCCATTCACATACACATTCACACTCTGGTGGGAATGAGCTACACTGTAGCTACAGCTGTGCTGTGGCACACTGGCAGAGGCGAGGCTCCTGAACACAGGCCCCATCAGTCCCTCTGACCACCACCAGCAAGCAGGTAGGGGGGGGGGGGGGGGGGGGGGGGTAAGTGTCTTTCCCAAGGACACAATGAGCGACAAACTGAGTGGGGCTCAAACCTGTAACTTTCCGATTACGGGGTGAGCACTGAACTCCTGTGCCACCCTGTCACCCCCTCATATAGTATGAGTGTATTGTGTTGGTTTTGGCCTGCAGAAGTTTTAGCTTTGACACGGATCTTAACCATAACCAGGGGAGACCTAATTTTCCTTAGAATGTGTTTCAAGTTATTTTGTAGGTGAATTTCTTTAGAAGGTCATGATGAGCTGCTTTTGGCCTACATCATGGTATCAGTCGAGTTCTGTTGAAATGATTTCTGGCTGAACCTGAACTCAGCTTTTAACATCAAGCGGTAACAATTAATTAATGATTTACCAATGAGAGGGCTGGTTTGGATAGCTATTGGAAACTGCCTTTTGAATTTACTCAGGTTATCTTTGTCTGATTTCTAATCATCTAAGTGTGGCCAAAACCGAGCGTGAACAGAAAAGTTCTGTACATGGATAAATATTAGGCTATTTACCACCACTGTGGGTGATAACATGTGTTCAGATACACGTCTCCCTTGAACCGTGTGCTCGGTAAAATGTGTGCACACTTTACAAACGTTAGACTTGAAGCTGAAACACAAGCAAACCCTGGGGTGAACCAGGCTTGTGTTTATAGACACAGAGGCTCTTCTGTGTTGTACACAGTTCCTGGTAGTCATCTGGTTTCCTCCATAAAAGGGTCTACTGCTCTGGGTGGGTGTTTTATCCTTGGAGTGAACCTTGGGTGGGGTGAGGGTTGAAGTGCACTGGTGTGATTGGAGAAAATCCTTCCACAGGTCCTGAAAGGGAACTAAGAAATTACAGTACACGAATAACAGATGGGTATGTGCATATTATGCTACGCAAAAAAATAAATAATTTTTTTTAAATCTAACTCATTCAGGAAGTAGAATACGTCTGCATAACATTATCCCACAAAGCAAAAAAGTCTTACCTTAAAATGAATAAAAACATCTAAACTCCCACTGATTTCTGACAGACTGTTTTAAGTATATCAGTCATCCTCCTGGAATTATAATTAAAAAAATATCACTAAAGCAGCGTCGTTATCTTTCATGTCTCTCACAGCCAGACGTCCCACAGGGCTTTGTCACACAGCCGCTGGGATCGCTGCTGCTATTTGCTCTTTGCACGTCCAAAAGTCATGGATGGAGTGATCTGTGAGCAAACATGCTGTTTTCTGTCCTGCAGTCTCGCGCGCCGTGTGGAAAGCGTGGAAATCAACGCGTCTTATTAACAGGAACTGTTTAAGGTGAGTAAATCATTCAGATTAACAACCCCGCAAAGTAAAACTGAAAAAGGAAGCGGGCTTGTCTGTAAAACATACGGCAAAATACTGGGATTTAATAACGGACTGCTACGACAGCGGCTGCAGCATGAAAATGACTGTTATTATATTTTAGGGATACGTCTTAAAACGTTCCTGACCAGGGTTTCCTGGATTTCGCAAGTCACTGCTTCCCTCAGCCGGCGTGAACGGTCAGCTGAAGAGCAGCAGACAACAGTCTGACCGGAAACATCCGATTTCTGACATAAAAAGTTCAAAGATTATGGCTGGTCTTTTAATCTATTCATTAAAAGTGTTCTGATGAGGATTCGTGTTTGAGTGTGTAAAAATGAGCCCACTTGAATGCAGTTTGGTTGTTTTGTTCTGCAGATGAGGGGAGACAGATTTAATGACCTGCTGCAGTAACTAGACTCCCCATTTCTATTTGGGGCAGAAACAGGACACCTGTCCTGTAATAGCACGTCTTTGTTCTTTGATTTAACCATTATTAATCCTCTCATGTGTTAACCTAATTTCCTCTCTATACCTGACTGACACCAGCTGGTTGACGGTTTACCCTTTCTGTTGTTTTTATTTAACGCTCTCATGTGATGCAGGTTTAAAATTGTGGAGTTGAGTGTATTGTGAACCTCCAGTGTTTATTCTGACAACACCTAACTGATCTGGCATCGACATGGCTTCGGGGCAAGCAGATGTACCAGGTAATCCTATGATTAAATAACAGAGTGATAATCTGTATCAGATTACATCTGATTTGTTTTCTTTTTTTATCTAGAACTTGAGTCTGGCATGCCCTCGGGCCTTTGTGGGGTCCTGTCATGTCCCATTGGAATGATGCGGCACAACATCAGCTACGATGAGCACATAGACATCCCCATGCATTCACCCCCTCCAGACATGACAGTCAATGTCTTTTGGAAAGATCATCCCATCGTCCCTCAGCACAGGTTTAGGAACACAGTCGAGGTGCTTCCTGGTGCTTTTAACTTTCTCCTGGTCACCTGGGCCGATTCTTGTCAGTGGGGGGTGTATGTTGGGTTGTAAACTTGAAAAGTTTAGATGCGGTTACCTGTTTCTTATTGAACTAAATGAATCCTAAAGCTATAAACTTGTGTGGCTAGGTGAGTGAGAACGGTGACAAGCTCCAGACACAAGAGGCACAAACACAACCCAAGTCCCCGACGCCTGCTGTGAAAGCCAAGGCCACCACATTAATGACTTCCCTTATGACGAGTAAGTAAAATGTGCAGGAAATCCAAACAGCTTTAGAGGCAACGTTTTGTTCTTTCTGGTTTTTGCTTCTGTGTAAAAGTCATTTAATTACCCAGATACCTCCTTAAAATCTTTTGTTTCAGAAGAAATCAAGTTTACATCCTACAGGACTGACGAGGCTCATGTTTCTAAAGTTTTATTTTGATTAGTGCAACATTATCAACAAACCTTTAAACCACTGTTAACTTTGCATTACAGTTGTTACTAACATGATTATCACCAGCAGCAGGAACATGGACCTCCTCTGTTGTATAGGGGTTGAAGTCCAGCAGTAGTCTGTTTACACAGCTGCTAAAATAAACTTGTAATGCTAAATGTACAGGTTTTGTAAAGGTTTATGAAACGTTTACATAAATTACTGTAAAACTTTAGTGATTGGAGTAAAGATGTGCTGATGCTGGTTTTGAGGGCAGATACCACTGTCTGATTCTTGTGCAACTCTAACTTTGACCAGTTCCATTTAATCTCAAATAACTATAAATTACACATTACCCTTTACTATGTATGTTTCTGAATAACTTTAGAACTATGACTCTGGGAATAAAAATGTTAAGGCAGAGGATCTACTATCATCAATAAATGAGTTAGCACTTATTAAAGGGCGGGTTCATAGACTAGGAGAGATGTCACACATTTTCATTGCTGCTTGGCAATGGTGTGTTCACTGACCCAATAAAAGGAAGAAGAAAAAACATTGTTTTGATTTTCAATTTGGCTAATGACCAATTTCATTGATCATACTGGATACTGTCCAGTTACACTCTTAAAGTGGCAATGTGTAGTTTTTACCTTTAATCTCTGAAAATATACATCAAAATGTTGTTGAAAATGAATAAAATGATGTCCAGTCATTGAAAATATTGGCGGCTTCGTAACATATAACCATAAAAATCGAGTCTGAGTAGGGTGCAGGACTAGCGTCTTTGGGGAATGCCAAATTAGATGCTATGTTTCCTTTTGGCTGACTCGGGGTACTGCACTTGTTGATGACATCCCACTAGATGACTGGCTGGATGTACGACTTATGGAAGTTATGTTTCCACGTTCAAAAACATTTAGACAGTAAGAAACACAAATTTAATAATTAAACTGCTAAACTCTTTCCAAAATCTATGTGAAAGAACTGAATCAAAATAGAGACACAAAATATTTTTGGCCAAGTGATGTTGCCGTACAACTATGACGTCATCGGCAGGCACAATACCCCGAGCAGATCCAGAAACTACAACGTCAGAAAACTACAACCAGCATTGCATCCTTTCGATGGAATTAATAGAAGGACTATCATAGTCTGAGGAGTCACACTGAGGTTGCATCCTTTCTGCTTCACAGGTAACAACATTTACTGTAATGTTTTTTAAACTAGCGACAGTCATGGCGATATGGTGTAAAACTACCCTGAAATGTATGTATGTATTTACTGCCCCCTAGCGGTGGGAAACTACACACTGCCACTTTAAACTGATTATTTTGGTGTATCTCTAAATTGGAGTTTTTAAGTAACAACACTACATTTTACACAATTTCTCCTCACAGATTTTTCAAGAAGGTCAGAGGCAATAGACATTTACACAAAAAGTCTTCTAAATAGCAAAAACTTTTCAAGAACAACTGTGACACTATAATGGAACTTTGCACATTAAGACATGAACTAAATGTCTTCGTTTTCTCATCTAAGAGCAAACACAGGAAAACCTCCAAAAGTTTGAGCACCAAGCAGGACTGACAGAGATGGTGTATTCACCCCACAAGGGCCTTTCAGCCGAGGAGACCCTTCTTCATCGACTAGCTGATGGCAAACAGCCAGTAAGTACGAAGAAACGCGACCTGTGGTGGGATGTGAGGAAAGGTTAGGCTTTGGGTCTGACCTTCATCACATCCACATGTCTTTTGGATTTAATCACAGGGAACTTTCTCGGAACTAGTTACCTTTTTGCAACAGGAAGAAGAAATTTAATATGAAAATATCATGCCACAAAGCCACCGCCACCATACTTAAAACAAAAAACTGTTGTGTGTGAGTGTGTGTGTATCTTTATATTCTGTTTCTGTTTCTGACTGAATTTTGGCAGAAAATATCTGATTATTCTGGTCTGATTGAACTCTTCCCGAATGGTTATTCTTTCCATAGCCAGTCCCAGGGTTCTGGTTGTGGTGGAAGCCTAGCTATTGTCTTTAGAGTCCCTCTTCCATGTAGCTCTAGAACCTCTGGTTGCTAGAAGTGCAGCTGATTAAAGTCGGGCGTAAGGACCCGTTTAACTGTGCTGTGGTTTATCGTCCACCATGTCCAAACATGTCCCCCCCACTTTTTCCAAAGTCAAGTTTTGACGCCTGCACTTTTTACCATCTAAAAACAATATTACGCTATGTTAAATTGACACTGGTTGAGCTCTAGCACCAAGCAGAAAACAACCATTTATCTTGAAGCCTGTTTCCCATTGGAACATACTGTAAAGATCCCCATGCCCCCCCCCCCCCCCCCCCATGTTTTAGTGACTCTACTATGTAGAGTAAAATGAATGGAAGTTTGTGGAAGTCTACACAAACCTCTGTGTGTGTGTGTGTGCGTGCGTGCGTGTGGATAAATTCTGTGTTTGATTTTCTGATCAGATTTGACAAGTTTACCAACTCAAAGCTGGTTTACAGCTAAATAACTTGGTTTCACGTTGTTTTTATCTTTAAAATGTTAATTATATGTACATTTTGACATTTTTTCTTGTTTAACGCTGCAAAAAAACTTGCTCTTAAAGTAAACCAATAAAATATCTTATAACAGTAATGGCGAGAAAAACAGCCAACATTTTGGTCAACAAATTACGTAACGCGTTCTGCTCTCTAGTCCTATCAGTGCTGTTGCCAGGCAACAGCCTTACACGAACCGAGTGTCTTCTGAGAAGGACCAATCACAGAGCTCCTATCAAAATAAGACCCACTTCAGCGACTTCACTGACGGAATAGGAATTTCAAGAAACATTTGTTACTAAAAATACTAATTATGGATAAAAAGAAGACCGCCATCGAACTGAGACGCCAAAGAAAGCTTATCATTAAAAGGTCTGTGTAGGACTTGTTGATTTGTTTGGTGTTTTGCTTGTATTGTTGTTTTCAAAAGAAGGTCTCTGACGTTGTAGCCTGGTAAGCTAACTAGCAATGATCGGAGCTAACTCGGGAAAGAAAACCCATCGCCCCGTAACCTTGTAATTATCAGCCAGCTTTAGTAAAACTTGTGACAAAATTTAATAAAGAAAACATGGACATTACATAGTTTTCGAAACAGTTATTTAGTAACCGTGTGTATCCGTTCGTTCCTCGTGAACGTGTGGCCGCAATTAGCATAACATCGGCCAGATGTTCGCTAACGTTAGCCAGGCCGTAGCCACGGGACAAAAACAGCTTCTAGTCCTACGACTGATACGTTTAAATATGCGAACATTTAAAGTGAACTTGCAATCAATTTTTTTTTTCCAGTACCAATAACACGTCATTTTCACGTGTTAAAACGTTTGTTAATAATTTTGTAATAAAGAGAAACTCCTTGTATTTGACACATGCGGTATGCCAGGATTTAATGTTTTTCTTTCATTTTGAGTATTTATATTTTTACTCACCTTTCAGCTTTGTAACTGCTGAATTACAGTATTGTTATCTAACAGTTTACTCACCCACATGATGGGGGTGTGCTGGGAGAAATGCGCAAACGCCACTGACCTTGAGCAAAAATCAAGCTGTATAATTTTTGTATGATCAAAACGTTTATTGGAAACTTAACCTAAAAATGCCATATTCTAGTCATAGTGACGTGTACGTTGTTGGCCAAAGTATTTTTTTCACAATCTCAGTTAAGTGCCAGAGCAGCTGGTGTTTTGTTTATTGGATGTAAAGGGATTGAACCTTTTTGTTTATTTGTTTGGGTTTCCCACACAACACAGCAGCAGATGATTAACATATGATCTGTGATGCACTTTTAATTTTGATCTGAGGTCAGCCTAACACCGATTACACTTTGTATTATGTAACCATGATTGTTTGTTCTTTAAATGAAATCAATGCTGCACCTTTCCCCAACATGTTGGCACATCTAAAAAACAATTTATCATTTTCTAGGTCACAGACATGTGCCAAACCAGTAACATGGTTAGTGAAATGTTTTCTGTTCTTTGTCAGCAGAAGTTGAGAATGTCAAGCGGGGACTTGAAGGAGGACAGGCTCTTAACATCTGCACAATCTACCCCCAGTGGCACCCCTTCTGTCACCCCTTCTGTTACCCCCAGCGTTAGTCCCCACTCATCACCAGCTCTTAATCGCAGGTGTGTATAAAATGTTTATTTTTACGTGCAAATAGAAATCAACATGTTATAGCAATTGTAGCTGTTTTAAATCTATGTTTATATTTAGCTCTGTGTTGATTGGTTTTTACAGGAACTGGTTGAATCCAACACCTTACCTTTCATCTCTAGAGCCTAACAGACCAAACCTAAACACAGGCATGGGAGGAAATGAGGGAGGAGGAGGATTAGATCGGTGGAACTTTTTTGGGAGTCGGTCTGTGGTACCCAAGTCTCCCACAGATCCTGGCTCTGAAACCAGCACAGGTGAGGAGTTTAATGGGCCATTCCCATCTGTACCGGGTCGGCCCGGGCCGGGTAGCATAGGTTGTTTACATATCTGGGTGGCCTGGTATTTTTCCGGGCCAACCAATGCTCATTCTCAGCCCTCTTCTCGAGGGGGTCTGCTTCAGGCCGACCAGGGCCAACACACCCACTGCTGACAGCAAATTCACACCTTCCATTAGGGCAAGCCTCTGATTGGTGGGTAGAATCAGCCCACATGGGCTTAAGACAAGGATGTGTGGAATCAACCGGGCTAGGCTGGGGTCGACTGGGGCTATCCGGCCCGGGCCGACCCGGTACAGATGGGAATGGCCCATAAAGGTGCAGTTTTACAGCTTTTTTTTACACGTGGGATGATTGATTTGTTCTAGGTCTGCACGATATTAGGAAAACCTGCGATATTCGATAACAGTGCTTAATATTGCGATATCGATATTACTCACGATAAATGAACAAATACTAAAGTATGCAGTGTTGATGTCGTCTGGCGTGTGACGTCTGCTCTGGGCTCAAAGCAAACTAAAACTAATGCATGAATTCCATTACAACATAACATTTTTATTGCAAAAATATGCAGCTTCACCTGCTACTGCATTAGCAGCAAAACAACAAACTGCATGCATGCAGTTTCTCAGTGACTTTAAAACATCACCTCCACCATAAAACTTTTTCTGATGCTCCAAATACAGAAAAACATCCCTTACCAGGGCTTTTAGAATAAATAGTTTACATGTTAAATAATAGTTAACATCACTTAAATGCAACAGCAAATTCTCTCATTGCTACTGAACATTTTCTCCACTTATGTGGTTATGATATAAGGCTGTTGCTGTAATTGGGAAGTGAACTGTGCTGGGCCAAACTAGGAGAATATTAAGATTTTCTGAGAGAAAGAGAAAAACAATTGTCTACCTTTCAGAAGAGGAACTGGCAACAAAACTACATGGAAGATATGTGAAAATGTTTGTTTTTAACCCCAAATTGAACAAGTTTACCTAGATCTTAAAAAGCAGCTCAGATGATGAAACTGCAACTATGATTCTGATAACAAGCTAACTAATTGAACTAGCTCCTCTAAGATAACCGGCCAGCAGAGCTTCTGACTGACAGTTTATGTGCAGCAGCAAATCAACTATCCTGATTAACAAGGTTATAAAAGCTCATAAATGAAAAATCACTTTAATGTGTGGGAGAACTTTTCCAGGCCCTCTTTAGCAGGGTGGGACTGGGAGGAGAGTGCTGTAGCCTTTTAGCTGGAAGCTAACTGGAGCCTGGGGCTAACACCACCCGGTGGAACACTAGCGACATGAAGGTGGTTGGTTCACCGGCACGTGTCGGAGTCAGCCCGGTTATTATCAGCTGCTGAACGACACCGAGCGGACTCATGTTCACGTTTGAAAGCAGCACTGAATCCAGAAACTTCAGCACAAAGTGCGTTCGTTGCTCTGAGCCAGCATGGCGAACAAGGGAACGGCGCCTCTAACTCAGTTCGGGAGTTGCGTTCCACCAATCCTATGGGTCTACGTAGGGGGCGAGCGTATTACGTGAACGGACCCATCTGATTGGCCGCATATCAGAAGGGCTACATTTGATTGGTCAAATAATACTTCCGCGTAAAAAACAGAGCTGGTTTACAAAAAGCTGATGTATGACACGGATGGAAATGTTTGAACCAAACATTTATCGCCGTTTTTGACGTGCTTTGCAATGGGCCTATCGCACGTCCTGTTATCCCGATGACGATAATTTTTCGATATATTGTGCAGCCCTAATTTGTTCCATAAAATAATTTCTAGTTACCACAGTCCTGGTTAAAACTGATTGTTGTTTGCATTGGACAAGTGTTTAAAAATGATGACACATTTAGATTATTAACTCATTCACTGCCAGCCGTTTCCTGATCGCTAAAGCGTTTCGCTGCCAGCGTTTCTCACCGCTTTTACTGGGTTTTTTTAAGAGTCACAGAGCGTTGCGCACTAGGATGATGTTGATGTCAAAACAACCAAAATAAAGAGGAGACTCACCTCTTACATCTGGAAGAATCCGCGCGTTTCGAGCTTTATCTGTTCTTTCATAATCCGTTGTTGAATTGTGATCGGCAGAAGCTTTTCTGGTTCGCGCCTCACTTTTTTTTACAGGAACGGCCCAAAACCATCTCCTAACACAAGGATTTTCTGCTTCCTGATCACGTGACGTATGCGGATGAAGATCGGCTTCAGAGCTGAGATGTTTGTTCTCTCGGCACGTTCCGATGCCCACACAGTAAAAAAAAAATGCTAATGACGACTTTCGTCATTGGCAGTGAATGAGTTAAGGTGGAGCTGTGCTGAGTCTGAAATCTTCAATTTAACTGTAGACAGTTTTTTGCTCATCCTCGAAAAACAAAATAACAGTCGTCAGGCTGGAATTATAGGAGATGTATCATTCTTTTAAATTCTTCTTTTTTGCATCTAAACAAATTGCATAAATCGAAAAAAGTGAACAAAAATGTTTGAATAAGTGGTGTTAGACATTTAGTAATGCCCCGCCTTTTGGCTGTAGTAGTTAAACAGGCGTTGTGCACACAGGTGCGGTGCTTTGTGTCCCAGTGCTGATGGTAACTAGGTCTCAAAGTTTGTGTCATCCTGCCATCTTGTGTTGTCCTCAGGATATGGCAGGAGGGGTTGTGAGGTAATGATGACGAGGGTGGCTTTCCTAGAGTCTGAGGTGTAGGGTTAAAGTGTCATCACTCACTTTGGTCTGGTCCAGACACCGTCTCTTTATTGGTGGGACTCCTCCTTCAGTAGGTGACATGACGCTCCAACATCTGAGCATTCTGTGTTCCTTTGAAGAGAATAAAAGTAACATTGGCAAGCTGGAAAAGTTTGCTGGCTAAATTATTTTTGTACTAACGTTTCAAGGCCTCGCAGTGCCAAAATTTCAATTACCTAAACATCAGACCCGATCATAGAGTTTGGATGGATCGTTTTGTCCCAGCTGAGCACATGTGGCAGTGAAACGTGGCTCCAGCTTTCTGGACATGAACTCTAAAAAATAAAGGTGGATTTATATTTTTGCTTAAATTATTATTATTATTTTATCAGATTCCTGATGTTCGCTCTCATACAGACGAGTGGGAGTGAGTGTAGCTGCTTCTGACTGATGCACCAAGTTAAGTTTATATCTGCAGCGAGCCAAAAAAACTAACCTCACTTCGCTCGGCGATTGTTCTATAAAACTCATATTAAATCCGCTGTGTTGATGCACTTTAACGATTTTCTGTCGCATTGTATTTTTGCATGATATGGGACTCTATTTTATCTGGATGCTAAGTTCACGTCACACTGATGGAGTAAAACACAGTGTCTCTGCTGTGGAAAGTTTTCATCTGGTATGATAAGACGATCAGTTTTTTTGTAACTCTTCTGTTTAAGTGGAATGAAATGCTTAAAAATCAAAATTAATGATGAGCATCAGAGCCACGTGACTTCAGAGCTAGCTCCAGGGAAAGGCCTCAGCCTCACGTTAATAGATATTCGGCCATTTCGACTCTCTGAACTTTAGTTGTTTGTGTTTGGATGTTAATCATGGAATAATTTGGACAAAGAGGGCAAGCTGTGCATGGTTACTAGCACACCATCCAAGCAGTTTCTGCTTCTTATTTTATCAGTAAGTAAAATTATATTTCTGTACTTTATTTTGCTGGTTGAAAGGGGGGAAATGCTGTCATTTAACTGCTTGTCAAATATGTTAGTGGGGCTGCATAAGTAACTTGAGCGGGTGCCCGGCCTCTCCTGCCCGGCAACAGTTGTTAGAGCAGGCGGCTGGCTGTTCCCATTTCCCGGGGCAGCCGGGACGTGACATGCTCAAAATGGCGGTGGTGGGAACGTCCCATTTGGCTCTATGTTTAGCTGGAAGTGCATGACCATATTTGGCTGTTACCTTGATGAAAAGACAACAAAATGTAATAGAAAATTCAGAAAACTGAACAGGCTAAAAAATATGACCAAAACTTTACACTAAAACTTCTAGCAACCACCTGAAGTGACTTTTTATTTTATTATTATTTTTTTTTCCACACCTAGAGGCTTAAAATGCGCGTCATACTGTAGGGCTAAAAAGTGGATTTTTCTTGATATTTCTCCTTTAATAGTCAAATATTTTTGTCACGTGATGTCACTGGCTCATTAGTGCAAAGAGAAGCAGTAAGCTAGTTTTTCTCTTTTGCACAGAATAACATTTCATATCACACCTCTCCTGCAGGCTTCTCGCTGCAGTCCTACTTTGGTCTTCAGAAGTCCTCCACCATGGACGGCACCAACCCCCAGATCAACCTTAAGGTGGAGGACCCTGCCCAATTCATGGCCCCCAAAATTGAAATCTCAGGCGTGGATCCCAAGCGGGTTTCGCCACGACCACACAAACTTAAACCTCGGGACATGAATGTTTTAACACCTTCAGGCTTTTGAAGAAAGACCACCTGTCCTTTTTTTCCCCTTCATTCATCTGGTTGCTCCTGTGCTTCCTGTCTACTTGAGCACCGAGTCCCTAAAGCTGGGAGGAATGAGGACCACCTACAGCCCATCAGCTTCAGGGATGTCGTCGTACTCTTGCCCCTCCCAGCAGACCGGTTCTACCCTCTAAATAGTCTTGCTGATAACTCAAAGGTCCAGTGAAAACTAAACTGAGAAGATTTTGTCACACCTGGAGGTGATTTTTAACATGTTAGCGCCATTACCTGGGCTCATTTGCTTTGCTGTCCTCATCCCTTCATCTGCAGTAAATGGAAATATCTTGTCAGCCTTTTGTAAACGTGACTTGCTTTACTTAGCATTGCTCTTCATGCCAACACTGACAACATATTTCAGTTAATGCTCAGATGCCCGCCCCGTTTTTACTTTTATAATTCAAAGTTTAAAAAGCTGATGTGTATATTGTGTAGTGCTTGTTGCTGTCAGCATGCTGAGAATAGTTTAGTGTGTGACTGATGACGTGCCTAAACTTCCAACTTTGTTTTTTATTATGTGGAAGCATCTTATTGTCCTTTAAAATGACTTTTATTTAGAAATGATTTTTATAAATATTTGAAATAATTTTTGTCCATATCGTCCTGCTTCGAGTCAGCTTTTTGTTCCGCCGGTAGTATGATGTGATTTGTGGTTTATGGGACAACATTATGACCGCTAAACAAGCTAAAACATTAGCATTTAAGTGATTCATTTACATTTCAGGTTTCTCATGCCTAAGAACTTTGCTGGTTTGCTGGAAAAAAGTTTAATTCTGCCAAGTAATTGCACAAGGGAGAGGTTCTCCCACTTGCATATCTTAATAAATATAATCATAACAAATAAACCTGGTGTTGGTCTTTATTATTTTGCAGAAATTTGATTGTCCGTTAGTCAATCTGGATGTAAATCGGTGCAGTCTGGGAGTTCTATTTAAAGTTACAGTAATACAATGTTAAGTGTATGTTTGCCTTTCAAACTGTTGTTTTGACATTAATGTAGGTCAAAATATGATTTTGTTGCAAATAATTAGGTGATTTTTTTTTTGTTTCAGTTTTATTTATAGTAAACAGCACTTCTGTTCTGGTTAATTTTCCATTATAGGGGAAAGGAACAAGTCCTAAATGTCACTGGTGTTGGATGGGTTGGAGCTCCACCTCCAGCTTTTAGCCAGAAGATGGAGCACTGAGATCAGAATCAGAAGGGTTTTATTGCCATATGTGGGAGAATCACCACAACATTAGGACATCGCTGCGGTAATTGGTACAAAAACAGAAAGATAAAAATAAGAGCAGCACATAAAGGAAGTAAGCATGTAATAATAAAAGAATTATATAAAGTGGCAACATTTAAACAGCTACTACAAATCAGTACAATCAGAGTGGATCATTTCAGGTACAAACAACACTGGGTCATGTGACTGGAGCGGGCAGCCCTAGGATTGTCATCCAACAGCAGAGGTGAGGGAACTTCTTGTGGCGAGAGATTCTGGTCTGAATGGATCTGAGCCTCCTGCCAGATGGGTCAGCTGTTATCCAACCTGCACGCCTCCTGGAGGTGTACAGGTCCTGTACAGAGAGGAGTTAACAGCCAGTGAGCTTCTCAGCAGAGCGCACGACACGCTGCAGCTTCTTGTCCCTACTGGTAGCTCTAGCATACCACACAGTGATTGAAGATGTGAGAGTGGACTTGATGACTGCTGTGTAGAACTGCCTCAACAACTGCAGGCAGGTTGAATTTCTTCAGCTGCCTCAGGAAGTTCATCCTCTGCTGGGCCTTTTTTTATGATGGAGGTGATGGTGGGCTCCCACGTGAGGTCCTGGGTGATGGTGGTGCCCAGGAAGTGACATGAGTCCACTATTGTGATGGGAGTGTCAGACAGGGCTAGGGGAAGGAGGGCGGCTGTGTGCTTCCTTAAGTTCACAACAACCTTCACTGTCTTCTGGGTGTTTATCATCAGGACACTAGCTGATCGACCTCCATTCTGTAGGCAGACTCATGCCCGTCAGAGATGAGTCCGATGATGGTGATGTCGTCTGCAAACTCGATAAGCTTGACAGGTGCTGATGGTCTGCAGGTCCGAGAGATTCTTCTCCAGCCTGACTTGTTGCTTTCTGTCTGTCATGAAGTCTGTGTTGCAGCGAAACTGAAGAAGCCTCTGACTGAAGACACTCTTCCGTTGTTGGACAGTCTTGTGAAGAGAATGCTCAGGGTTGTCCATCATTTTCTTGATTCTCTGGAGAATCCTTCTTTGCATTATCTCCTCCAGTGGTTCCACAGTCGTCCCCAGAACAGAACCAGCCTTTTTTATTAGGCTGTTGAGCCTTTTCAGGTCCCTGCTTCTGATGCTGCTACCCCAACAGACGATGGCTGAAGAGATTACACTCTCAACAACAGACTTGTAGAAGATCTGCAGCATCTTGCTACAGACATTGAAGGACATAAGCATCCTCAAGAAGTGCAGTCTGCTGGTCCCTTCTTGTAAACGGCTTCACTGTTCTTTCTCCAGTCCAGTCTGTTGTCCAAGTGAACTCCAAGGTGTTTGTATTCCTCACCCACCTCCACTTCTCCTCCCATGATGGAAACAGTGTTTGACTCCACCCTGTTTCTTCTGAAGTCTAAAATCATCTCCTTTGTTTTGTTCACGTTCAAGGTCAGATGATTGTTTCCACACCATGCCACAAAAGCGCTCCACCAGCTCTCTGTACTCAGCTTCCTGTCCATCTCTGATACACCCGACAACTGCAGAGTCATCTGAGTATTTCTGTAGATGACAGGTCTCTGATTTGTACTGGAAGTCTGAGGTGTACAGGGTGAAAAGGAATGGTGAGAGTACAGTCCCCTGTGGTGCACCAATGTTACTGATCGCCTGGTTTGATGTGCAGTTCTTCAGCCTCACAAACTGTGCTCTGTTTGTCAGGTAGTCTTTAATCCAGGTGATAGTTGAGGCCCCCACCTGTGTCTTCTGGAGTTTCTGGCAAAGTACATCAGGCTGGATTGTGTTAAATGCACTGGAGAAATCAAAGAACATGACCCTCACAGTGTTGCCTGCTTTGTCCAGATGACAGTGGATTGGTTGAAGCAGCTGGATGATGGCATCTTCAACTCCAACTCCATGGCGATAAGCAAACTGCAGCGGGTCCTGATATGTTCTAGTTTGCTTATTCATGTGGACCAACAGGAGTCTCTCCAGGACCTTCATGATGTGGGATGTCAGGGCAACCGGTCTGTAGTCGTCATTGACTGATGGGCGAGTTTTCTTTGGAACTGGAACAAGGCAGGATGTCTTCCACAGGACTGGAACCTTCTCCTGGGCCAGGCTGAGGTTGAAGAGGTGCTGCAGAATCCCACAGAGCTGTTCTGCACAGGCCTTCAGTACCCTGGGGCTGACACCATCTGGACCTGCAGCCTTGTTCCTGTTCAGTCTCTCCAGCTGCCTCTTCACCTGACTTCCAGAGACAGATAGGTGGGAGGGGGAGGTTAATGGGGCAGCAGCATCTCCTGACTTGGTTGAAGACGGAATTATAGAACCAGAAGTGCCCATGACTGTGTTAGAGGACAAAAGAGCTGGCGTGTGACAGGAAAATGTTGGATCAGAAAGGAACTTGCTCCTTTCTAGCAGCAACATTTAGTACATTTCAGACACTACTGTATCAACACACCCTAACAGAAACATTATTCAAAATTTAAAAGAGTCATTTGACATTGGACATCACTATATTAAAGCAGACTCCTTTCATCTGTTACCATGGAAACAAAAGGAGTTAAGGATCACTCTAACCAAGTCTCATAGGAGTTAATGTAAAAAGTTGAATATTTAGCCAATAACAGACTGCTGTTTCTGATCTTTCTGACCTATATGTACTTAAAACTAGAAACGTAACTTGCATTTTATTGACCATAAGAAGGTGGGAAACTGCCCCATCCCCTTCCAGCTGTCTGATTGGCTGAGAGAGTTAAACATCTTCTGGCTAAATGGAATTACACATTCACACATATGATACATCAAATTGGTCGGCTTGGCCTAGGAATCCAAACCTACATACATACATACATACATACATTCATACATACATATATACACACGTGTGTGCGTGCGTGCGTGCGTACGTACATACATATATACATACACAGAGGCGGATTTAGCAATTTGGGGGCCCAAGGCGAACACAGACATGGGGCCCCTTACACTAAATTTTCGACATTCTTACCTTTAACTGGATTTGCGAATCTCTCCCCTCTTCTGACATGAGTTATTTTCCCTTTTTATTAGTCCTCCTCTTTTTTCCTGTATTACCCTCCCTTTGAGCGATTTCAATATTTGCTCTGCTTTCTTTTTCCTGTCAGTGTTCCTGTGCTTTAGCCTTAGTTTTTTTTTTCTATTTTCCATGTTGGTCCATGTTTTCCTCCCTTTAAACATTTTCCATTGTCTTTCCTTTCTGCTTCCTTTTGATGTTTACATCGAAAAACGACGTCACTTTCAGAAGTGAAGATAAAATCTTTTATGAAGCATGCTGCTTCTTTCTCTTATTGGAGCCACTAGGATAACTCCATTTCATGCTTAATGTTTTGACTATCGCTTTGAGTTTGTTACGAACGCTCCCGCCTCTCTTCTTCTTTTTATTTGTGGTCTTATGGCACTTGGCAAACAACAATTTGGTGCATTACTGCCACCAACTGGATTGGAGTGGAATCACTACCAACCACTTCCTGTTTGTGCATTGCTGTCTTAATAACCCTCTTATGACCATAATTATAACAGGGCCGCCTGGTATGTTTTTAATCTTATGGATGTAAAATTGTAATAAAAAGTACAAAGTGTCTGTAACTCCTCCTTTTTTCAGAACAACTTCAGCTTTAGTGTATGGTTTGTATTTAGAATTTATTTCTATTAAAGCCTTTATAAAATCAGCTTAAAAGTGAAAAAAGCAAAAAAACGGATTTGAACTTTTTACATTTATTACTGAACAGGAACTTCAAAATTACTGGGCAAACAATTTGGAATGAACAATTTAAACTTTGAACTGTAATGCATCTATTCTTAAAAAAGTTTGAACCTTGGTGTCTTTTAGCAGTTTTTAAGACCATTTATTTGTGTAAACTTTCAGACGTTTTTATTTGATGTGGTAGACCTTGAAGCAGTTTCTCTCCAGCTGCAGGCACAGCACACCTCACACTGCCATGGGGGTGCTTCTCTGGCACACCGTGCACTACTATACCCAAAACTTATGTTTTAGCAAAAATAATTATTTATTGTAAAAAGATTAATAATGCTGGAATGAAGTTGAATCTTACAATTAGCAAATAGTTGAGGGTTGTTCAAATAAAAAAAATAAAAAATAAAGACTGAACAAACATTCATATCCTGGTTCACCGGAGATCTGTCCTTCTTCGTGGTCACTGTCTTCAGATATAAGCCTTCTGGGACACCTAATATATTGTGTTGATTTTCTTTGAGGCATTTCCATAATTTCATGCTGGTTTTTATGCTAATTAGCTTCCCCGTTCCGTTATCCGCTTTCACCGCGGCGCTGCTCCGCATCAATCAGGCTGTACAGCAGGATTTCCCCTCGTAGCGATATTTTCCATAACTCTGATTGCTTCATGCTATAGATCTTTGGAAAGCTGCTTTTATGTACTTTTAGGGACCGCTGGAATTTTTTTAATCTGATCAGCCATTCAAAAGTTATAAAACGGAGTATTTTGGATGACAAACTCAGCACGTCTCTGAATCTGTGTTGTGATTCGTTGCGCTCAAGACAGGGAATCCCGGTGGCTACCGTAATGTATTGTATATGCACGGATCTTTTCAGCACTTTTGGAATTTTAATGATATCTTGAATGGTT